TACTGATTGTGTGGATCATATGAAGGGCAATTAAAACAATCATGATTTTGGAATTTAACTTGCCTTTAGAAAAAGTGACAAGCTATAATTGAGAGCATGATTGATGTTTGCTTGGTCCCTTTCTTCGACCGCATTCAACAGCTCGCGCAGAATCTATAAAGCAAATAAATGCCAGGTGTTTTTTGTAGCCAGGCCCACCAAAGTGCTCGGCGATGAAGGGCAAACCTCTATAAAATGGGGTCTTTTCTCTTTTCAAAATCTGTGTGTAGCCTGATTCTATTACAGCGAAATAGCCAAATTGATGCATAACGGCCTTAGCAAACCACATAAAGATAAATCTTATTATCGTCACCATTCCTATAAATCTCCGGAAAAGGAGGCTTCTGATAGCTTGGCCTGTAAGTGGTTTGTTAGCACTGAAGTGTCATTTGAAGGACCATTTTCAAGCGCTCTCGTTTTTCACACAGAGTGAAATTTGTGGCTCAATTTCGACTTGTAAATTTGTGGCGCACAGCAAACAATATTGGCGTAAAATTTTGGAATTTCGGGTAAATTTGAGAATCTTTAAAATTTATCTCTTATGGAAATAACTTGACGTTTCAGGAAGCGCCTGTGACGCACTTTTTTGCTGGCAGTTGCTATTTTGCTGCTTTACAAATCTGCATATGTTGATGGTGTTAAAATTAGGTTATGCAATCAGGACGCTCTAAAAGCAATATGCTTGCACAAATAACAAGAAAAAGTTGCTCGCGTATGGCAAATTTTTTGGCTAGAAAGTGAAAATCGATTAAACAAGAGAAGTTAAAGGACGCACCGGGGAAAAAAGGCAGCAATTTCCCAAGGGTAAAATTTTTCAGTCGAAAAGCGAAATTTCAAGAAAAACAAGATACTAAATAGTGTTTCAGAAGAATGCCCTTTTGGGAAGCTAAGTGGCTGAAATATTAGCCTGGTAAACTCTACTAGATGCATTTTCGAATTCAAACATTTTTGGTTAATTTTCTTTCATTGATCATCTTTTCCTACACTGTCATGAAAATCACTCTTTTGAACCTTGGAAAATTCAAATTTACAAAAAAGTTTCGAAGAAATCGAAAATATTAATACATTTTTTAAAATATTTCTTTTGGATTTCTTTACTCTCACAAGATACCGATCCTAGAAAGAATCGCTAAAATAAATTTATGATCACTGGGAATGTCCGGACAGTCGGTCCTGGAATTCCTTCTAGTGCTTTTACTATAAACTGGAATGCTTTTCATTCCGGATACCTCTTCACCGCTTATTTGCTATCATACATTCCTGCTAATTTTAAATTGCATCACGAATGCCTTTACACATCTACCGCACCCGCGAAATCTACAGACTCTTGAGCATTCCTTGCTAAATTCAGTAGGAAGTTTTCAAATAAGGTCATTGCTGAATTTTTACTGAAATTTTGCTGTTCCTCATGTGGTAAATCGTTCCGCTCCAGTTCTCCTAGCTTTTTTTGCGTGAGGAAAATTGTTTCCTCCCCCTCCATTTTCGAAATATTTGTCAGGCCCTAATCGTCTGATTTTAGCACAGTTGCCTGATTTTAGTGAGGGCCCAATTCGCCAGAAGATTTTGAAGCTTTTTGATTGCACAGAAAAAAATCCTCTTCCCTTGCCTTTGTACTTCATCATCCACCCACCCTCTTCCCTTCCGCTTACTACTTCTTTCTCCTTCCTTTCATTTAAACACATCCACGAAGTTCAGAAATTATGTCATTCGCATTCGCATTACAAATCTTCAATTTCGTACAGTTGGTTAGAGCTCGGAAATACTCCTTAGCTCTTGAAAAAGAATTTCGGTATATTTCAGGATTACCCGTTTATTCCTTGTCATAGCTGGAATGAATCCGTCGAAGCAACCGCGAAGCACCGGTACTTGTCGACTGTTAAACCAAATTGCGTTGATGTAGTCGTTCGGACTGAGCGTGGCTAGAATATGCAGAACGGTCATCCGGATCAGATGCACTGTTTGACCCTTAACACTGCCGCTCCTGCAAGTGGGAATAACACAAAATTCCAGCTTAAAGTAACAAAAAAATTTACTGAACGGTTTTGATTTCCGAAGTTTAGGGGCTGCAAGAAGGTCGTGAACAAGATTGCCAAATAAGTAGATACCTTTCCTTCTACTCTGATACTTTGATCAGCTATCATTTCATCATACCGTATCACAAAGGCTGTTACTCTTCTATGAAGGAAAATTAAATTTGAAAAAAACTGATGGTCATAAAAATCTAATTTTTGTTCTTAGTATTTGAGATTTTTTCTCAGAGACTTTTGGAATAATTGGTCAATTTGGCCTCTCAAATAACTTTGAGTAATCTTACATGTCAATGAGAAATATGACATCCTTTGGAGCAGATTGGGCATTTACGAACCAGGGCCGAAAGCGCGGATCGAATAGATCGATAGTGATCGGTTCCGGATCAATAATCCATTTCTTCACTGCAATATGCAATGCACAATTAGC